CCAACTAAAATGTGGATTTTCGCAGCCTGGTTTTCGTTTCATCGTTCATGATAGGCCGTGCCATTATCAAGTACATATCAAGACCTTTCGCCGCGCTTTCGCACGTCTTTCGCGCGCCAAGAAATTGATCCCGGAACGCGGTGCTGCGAACTCGGCTTATAACAAACAAAACAAAGGTTTTAGAACAACCCCCACATGCAGATGCTTCACAATGCCCCCCAAAGAGATGCTCTCCTTCCCATGCCGCTGCGCCCTGCAAACCGCATGGCTGCTGAGGTGACAAGACACTGGCGTAAGGATGGTAAAGTCAGCTCGGTAACTTCAGTGAGCTGTGCTGAAGCTTTTTGCTTGTTGGCTCAAGCTGGCTTGCAAACAGTCTGGGCTTAGTTGTTCCAGCTTGCTGGCTATTTGTTGGGATGGGGTTTGGGTGAAGACATGCGGCCTGCAACTTGTAATATATTCTGCTTGTGCTTTGCTTTGCTTTGCTTTGCTTTGCTTTGCTTGCACGATGCCTCGGCCTCCGAAACGCTGCGGACATCACTGTAGTCTTTTACCGGAACTCTCTCGCGCGGGAAGGCTGCATTGTTTGCTCCTGTTCACTGCCATGCCACAGCCGAAAGAGCACACTTAGCTGAGACGCCCTTCCCCGAAACCCTACTTCATGTAGCAAATGCCTGCTGTGCCTTAATTGAGCATGAATGCTGCATCAGCTAAGCCTGAGCCTCCCCATTCAGGCACAAGCTCCAATCACAGCACGGCCCACATGTACTTCACACCCTTGGGGTCGAAGCCCGAAGGCAGCAACAGCTGCACATGCCAAGTATCTGGCAAAGAGTGTCCAAAGATTTTGCACCATGCTCCCAGCTGTAAGCACAAGGGTTCTGCCTCCACTCCTGTGCCTGCTGGGATCCAACCTTGAAACAAAAGGGTTGGCAAGCAAAGCAGCAAAATAAAACAGGGGGAAGAGCAATTGAGGGCTGTTGTGTTTGCACGATGGAAGCCGCTTGAAGTTGAGTGAGTGACTGTTACAGTACTTCGAAGGCCATGTCCTGCTACCAAAAGAATCTTGAACAACAGCGTGCGTTTTTTGGCAGAGCTTGACATAGGCGCAGGACATGAAGCAAGCTGCTCTCTGCTGGAGGTCTAACTCAGGAGTGCCTCCCGCTCCTGCTGCTCCTTCTGCTGCTGCTGCTGCTGCTGCTGCCGCTGCTGCTGCTGCTGCGGCTGCAGCTGTGGGTGCCTGATGTGCTGCAGCATCCGCAACACTTACTGGCAAAGCCGCTTGTCGCTGCCTTGGTAGTCCAGGGCCTATATTAGGTACGGTACTACCCGACAGCCCTGCAAAGGTAGAAAAAAAAGAGATGTCACAGACAGATCCAAGATAATCCAAGCACAGGAGCATTCACCCCGGTCGAAACATAGAAAGCTCTGGAGAAGTCCATACATGTTGCAGCTGTCATCAAGATCTCGGAAACAAGAGGAACACACAGGCGGTGTAATGTACAAGAAAAGCATTGAAGCTTTGCACTGCAGGCCAGTAAGAGGACTGAGCCCCGGTCTGCAAGTAAAACTCACCGCCTCTGGAGTCGACGCCCAGCAGCGACGCACCTGCTCCAAATGCTCCAAGCAGTCAAGAAAGACACGATTCACGGGCCGGGCCATCATGACCATCTGGCAGCACCAAGTACAGCCAGGCGGAAGATCGGCGAGGCCTTACCAAGTTCAGCACAGAAAGCCCGTGCACTGCCGTCAGAGCAGTGTGTATCTCGACACATTCCACTGCCACAAACTTGCCTGAGCACCGGGCGCGTCCAAAGAAAAGTTCAAGGAACCTCCTTGCCGAGGCTCGCTGCACCCCTTGGGCTTTGGCGCGCCTTGCGCGACCTCCACACCTCATGGCAGGGAGTCTAAAGGCTACGCTGAAACAACCAGAGACTTCGGGTGCATAAATCTGGTTGAGTGTTCTGTGAGCGAGACGGGTTTAGCCCCGTGCCTGGAATCCTGCCAGGGGACTGGCCCATGGTGCCTGGAAGGCTACGAAGGCTATGTGATTGTCGTTGAGAATTATGGTATGCCGTGAGACACTATGCTATACCTACGTTGCCCAACCGAACTTGCAATACAGCTGTAGCTGTGCCGAAAAAGTGTGGTTTCATGTCTAGAGTATTGGAGTACTGGCGGACTTCCCACGTCTACAGTGTGCAGGCTTTCATGAGATCTATCTGGCAGCGAGCTGTGGTGAGCCAAGGTTCATACAGCAACGTCTGATAGACTCTCAGCGCAAAGCATGGACGTCATGGTTCAAGGCGTGGCTGCGAAGAAGCTTGGCTACGGGATGTGAGGGATGTGGCCTGAGCCTCGATCGTTTGTACAATCTCCGCCTGACTTGAAGAACAGTCGAATGCAAAACCCCGAGCCACATCCACCCGGGACAGCTGCTTGCACGTCTGGGCCGCCGGAGACAGCGCCCTCCCCTGGCCAATGCTTTTAGGAACGCTTGCTGGTGTTACGTGTACCAAGCCTGCCACAGCCGGGAAGGACGACATGACCTGACAGCCAATGTCGTTTCCAGTGCTAGGCCCAGTTGCCATGAAACATTTTGCCCATGAGCTGTGGCCGCTACACAGCTGCGGCCCACACGGCCAGGCAGGCCCGGCTGCCACGCAAGCTGTCTGCGCCCAACTAAGTTGAGCCACACTTGCTGCGAGCTTGTGCAGCCTGGAGCCTTTGTTCTAGTAGGTGCATGCCTTGACAGAATGCACGCCCTTCCACGAGGAACACAGTCTCGATGGCTTAGGACTTGAAGAAGCTACTTGCACTTCTACTACTTCTTCTTATTCTACTGTGCCTGCCATTTCTACCATTGCCACATCCTAGTTCTACCATTGCACAAAACGGTATGGGTTGAGATGTTTGTGCACTTTGTTGGGGGGAGGATGAGGTGGAGGATGGGAGTGTGGCAGGGATTTTGGGGGGGAGCGGAAAGGTGGCGGAGGGCGTTTGCAATTTACAGCGTTCGTGACTCATGAATACGAACAATAGAAATTCCGGCCTTTGGAACTCTTGAAACACACCTATACTACAAAGTACGGCGGCTTAAAAACTACGAGTGCTCTACGTTTACAACAGTGCTTGGGGGCTTTGGCAAGGCTGCAAACACAGTGAAGGATAAGACTTGATTTTTTGAAAAGCTGCAAACACATAAACCATTGAAAAACATGTGGCAGTTGTTGATGATAAGTCACTTTCAAACAAGATACGGGTTCATGTCTGAAAAACCAACCATGGCCCATGATACGGGCTCAGGTCAACAAAGCCGGGCCCAATTCACCCCATGTGCCACCCATTGAAGAAGCCTGGCAACTGTTGACGAGGATTCACTATTAGACATTATTACGGGCTCATGTTGAAATTTTAAAACGTGGAGGGAGGGGAGGGGAGGCAAACCCCCCGTTTGCGAGGAATGCGACAGTAGTTGATGAGGATTTGATTCACTATTGTTTAGAAGAAGCAGCGGACGCCCGCCCCCCTCCCTTGCACACCATTTTAAAATTTGGCAGATGTTGAAGATTCGCTTTATTAGACATAATACGGGCTCATATTGCAAAAATGGTGCCAGGTGGACAGCCCCGCATTTGCAAACTCTTGACATATGTTTCAGTTGTTATGAGGATTCCTTGTAGTCCTTCTTGCTTCCTTGTCTCTCCCTGGTTCCTTCCTCGCGTTCTGGATTCTTTGCAGCCAAAACCTCCAAAAAGTAAAGACAAGACTCAAAACCAACTGAAATTGTTACTTTTAATAGTACATTTATTAGGATCGTGTCAATTAATAATGTCCGTGCTATTGGAATTGATTGTACTAGGAGCATGCTTTAGCTCTAGTACATAATATCACTGCTATCATTATGTTTAGTTCTGATTCTAGTCTTTCTATCACTACCTTATGCTTACCATGATCAATGTGATTTTTTTAATGGCCGTTAACGCGAATTATGATTAACTACTAGATTTCTCCATCTACTATGAGCAGTATGATTATGATGACTGCTGCTATAATTACCATGATTATCCTGCTTACTGAAATTTTGACTGCTTGTTCATTGATTTTGTCGTTTCTTTCTTCCGTTCATTCTCTCCTTCCTTCCTTGCTTGAATGTTTACTGCTTTGTTGTTCCATAGGCCGCACACACCACATGAGGGGACGCATCCGGGCTGCGCCCCGTGGCCTGCTCAGGCTCAGTTGCATTTGAACCTCCACAATTTCCTCGCTTGACAGCCTGGTTTTCTCTGAACCAATCAATCCAGTCCACCTGGGTTCACCTGTGAAAGAATGAGTCTTTGCAGGCTTTCGAACCTGGTCTGACCGTGCGTCTCAGGATTTGTAAGAGCACGCCTAAGCGTTGTGTCACATGCAGGGACATGAGATCGTCTGCGCGTAACGTCCTACAGGGCTGCAAGGCAAACGCCTCATTGGATCCTAATAGAAGCACGCACTCTATCTTTTCTGTTGCTGACGCATTAGCGCTGCTTGGCATGATCACTTCGCTCGCTTGGTCCTTAATTCAACAAAGAACACGTGTAGCAAATTGTAGCAGAAAGACTTCAGGCCATTCGATTCAAAGGCCTCGTTGAGGCCACATGCAAAGGCAGCGCCCGGTCTCAGGAAAACGCGATCTTTGTAGCAGCAGAAAGAGCAGCAACACGGAAGCATTGCCGAAGCTGTGCAGCGCTAAGTGAATGCTGACTGTGGCAGGGACTGCACCCGGCGAGCACGTTCCGATCGTAACGATCTGAGACACTCCTCTTACCTGCAAAGTTTCACTTCGAGCAAAGAAAGACTGCAGAGAAGCCAACACAATGCACAGGCCGGCTCGGCGCTTTCGATTGCCAAACAACTCCTGCAAGTGCCAGCTGCTGAGCTGCTGAGCATCTTCTGCCGGTCAGGCTTCACTGACATCAGTGACACCTTGTTCAGGAAGTCAACGGCATCCAGTTCCTGGGCCGCCTTGGAGCCGATGCAGCGAGGATGTGAACACGTCTCAAGTTTCAAGTTTCCTCAAGCACTCTGCCTGCGCGGCTTCAGTTCGCAGCAAAGTGATGCCATCCTTCTCCGCCCTCGAGGCTGCCAATCATCACATGTCAAATGCGCGAAGAGCTAGACTGCAAATAAGACCTTCTCCTATCACCGGAATGTTCATCAAATCGTGTCCAAGCTACTGTGTTGCACGGGCGTTGCTCTTGCGCTTCTCCTGCTGCTCCATCTTCAGAGCTTGCAGAAGCTCCTGGCTTGACGCCAAGTACGCTGGACTTCTTGCTAGCACCATGAGGCATCTGCATCTGAACCCTTCGAGAGGCCTGGTTAGCAGGTTCTTGCCAGACATACTTTGCTCTTTCGGTGACGTCACCTCTGGTCGCATGCTCGCATTGGGACAGCTGTTTCTGGTATGCCGTAATTGAATATTAAAACAGGCAGGCTTCCGCGTTTTTTCTTCCTTTGAGCTTTTCTCGCAGTTGCGCCAGCATCCTGCCCGCTCCGAGAACGACCCACACACACACACAAGTCCGGCAGAGACACGGAGCTGTCCTCTTTGGGCGCGCGAGCATGTGCTTCCACGGCCTCATTCAGCATCTGTGCAGAGAATGAGTCTGCATTTACGCCTGAGTCCAAGCAAGACCTGCAGGATGCTGTTGTTGAAGCGGGCCTCCTCATTTGCATCTTGGTTTTGTGCTTGCTGGGAGCCGAGGCCGGTGGTGACCTGCACAAAGCAATGATACGATTCAGCGAGGCCTGAACAAGGCTGATCTTCAATCTTAGAACCTCCTCGGGAGGGCCATCCTCGTCCTCAGATACCTGCGCAGAGATCTTAAGCAAGTTGCGTCGCCAGGCCAGATGCAGGCAGAGCTCATCTAAGTTTGGCATGGTGTCTGCCAGCCTTGCCAAGTCGCCCGACATCAAAAGCCTCACCACACTCACCACTACCACATCAATCGACACGACGCAACAATGCATCTGCTCTCTCATTACAGAAAGCATGCCTGCGGCAAGTGCTCCTTCACTTTCCCTGCGAGAAGACCAACCTGCAAGGTCAAGTCTGCTTTATTCCATTATTTCATGCTTCCTAGTGCCTTGACAGCTTTTCCAGCGTTCCCCGCTTTGACTTTTCTCATAGACAAGGCCAAGCTCAATGCCCAAATTGCCAAACACTTACCAGCACATTTATCGGCGCTTGTGTGAATGCACTTCCGACCCTTGTACAATGCTGTGTCTTGCAATGCACAAGATCCAGCACATGCTTCATCAAACATAGGATGCACGAAATCTAGCTACACCTTGGTCGATCTATCAAGCCATAGCTTGCGAGCTTGACTGGTGCTTCATCGGCTCAATTGTTTTGTCCAGGCTTTTCTTGTTCGCTTCATGGCATATTCTCCTGTTTCAGCCGAATGCAGCTGCGAGAGCCAACAAAATTCTGCTCCAACAGCATGAATCCGTGCTCACTGCTGGCCACTAGAAGCGATGATCTCCTGCAACCCATCCAAACCGATCCAGACATTCCGGCACCCAAGGCAGCGTAACAGTAATTAACTTGCTTTGAAGATCGAGTCCGCATTCCATGGCTTTCTCCCTCGGCCGGCCATCCGCAGGCCCTAACTACCACCCGCGCCATCTTCACGGAAGATCACAGAAGAAGTGCTCGGGTTCTGGGGGCCTCTTGCCTTACAGAGAAGCTCTGGCCACAGAGGCAGACATCCAGGAGCCCAGGAGCTCAGCCTGGCTTCCTAGGCCAACGTCTAAAGGAGTTGCATTTGGCAAAGCCCGTCACGTAACCCCGCTCTCAATTTGAAAGTTTCTGGTAGAGCTTCTCAGCCATCCCTATGCACTTGTGCACTGGCTACGCAGTTCGCTTACATTTCACTCGCACACCAATTGGATAATTGGAGGCTCGAAATGCCACCTGTTTAGACTCTAGACTCTGCATGGCCCTGCCACACGAGGCCGTCAACTTGAAGTTTCAGAAGGATTCGTGGATGGATGAATTCAGAGAGACACGGTACTTTTCCCAGCGCAGCAGGTAGGCACGCCAGCGGTGCCATCATCCAGGGCGTGTCTCTCTCCTTGCTTTCGTCTGGGTGTATGTATGTATGTATGTATGTATGTATGTATGTATGTATGTGTGTATGTATATGTATATGTAGATGTATATGTGAGTATATGTATGTATGTATGTATGTATGTATGTATGTATGTATGTACATGTATGTATGTATATGTATGTATATGTATGTATATGTATGTATATGTATGTATATGTATGTATGTATGTATGCATGCATGTATGCATGCATGCATGTATGTATGTATGTAGATATGTATGTATGTATGTATGTATGTATATGTATATGTATGTATGTATGTACGTATGTATGTATATGTATATATATGTATATATGTATATGTATATGTATGTGTATGTATGTATATGTATGCATGCATGACAAAGCGACACCAAAACTATGGGCCACACGCCACCAGCAAGCTCACGACGTAGGAGAGTGCAACCTATCAGAAGGTGTCATCATAACCAGACTTCTGGCATGCATGCTTCAAATACAGACAACATCCAAAGACAGAAGCTGAGGTTTTGACGGCAGCAACAATTATTATAGTCCCTGGCAGGAAGCCGAGGCGTATATGGAGGCCTCAGCAACACACAAATTGGGCGAGCTCCGACGGCCATTTGCCGGTACCGGGAGCGAAGCACTCAATGCCCATATCACGGAAGATGCGGCAAGTGGGTGCCAAGTTCTGCTTGTAAACAATCAACCTCACGTGTCAGGTCTATATTTGCAGAGCAGCTTCGCTCTGTACTGCATCTCAGGGTCAAACTCGATATACTGGCCAATGCCGTACCTGAGTGCACATTGCAGGGCATCAGGACCGGGCACTTCTGCCCTGGCTCGGGGACCTGTGTTTATGTCCAAGTAGGAAAGTGGCCGGTCACCGCCAAGAACCGCGGCGAGGAAGGCAAGGAGAAAAACATCATAAGCAGCCCATGCTCGCAAGGTGTAGCCTTACCAATCTTTCAGAAGCATGCTGCCCTGACATCGCACGGCATGCTCAGGTGTCGGCACAAGCGAAGCAGTTGCTGCCGGCGCTTGGGATGCAGTTGATACAAGCCTTCAGGTGGATGGAGCAAGTTTGCAAACAATGTACGTTTTTGCTGACGTTTTAAGGCTTGCGCATATGAATGTCATGGCCAACAACTGGAGCATGGGGATTGCCAGCACGAAAATTGCAAAGGTGACCTGATCTGCTTTCTTCTTGCAAAGAAGCAATTAAGACATCCCCCAATAGCCTGCAAATATTTCGAGCCCTGCTTTCCCAAGCAGGACAAGATGCCCAGAATGCCTGGCCAGCCAACACAGAGACCACGAAATCTCAACCATTCGAAGCCCAGGCACTGTATCTTTTGGACATGGGCTGGTGCGTCACCTTTTGCAGCTCGTGCCAGCTTGAGCATGATGCATGGACAGGTGACTGAAGGCTTGTGTCTTCTGCCGCTGGAAGCCTCTAGGAAAGTGCCGACCAAACCGCTGAAAGTAACTTCCACCTTGCAGCTAACAGGCAAAGACATCTTCACTGCGTTGCAAAGCTAGGCCACGACAATCTCTACCTGCCAGGAAAGCACCTCAGACAGGGGTGCGGGCTGTACACAGAGCACGCGGCAGTCGAAAGTTGGCTGAAACAGCTGAGGGCCAAACCATCAGGAGGAAACAAGTTATGTGGCCCGCGCCTGCTTACAGGTTCTCATGCGCGCATGCATGCGGCCTAGCATTTGCACGCCGTCTCGCCTACGACTCGCAAGCGGCGAGCATCATGGCCTGACTTGCTCAATCATTCGCGTTCATATGAGTCGGAAACTCAGCAAGGACGCGCCGGAGAGACCAGATTGGATACAAGCTTCTCCTCTGCGCGCAAACCATTCAGTCCACATCTCATCTAACATTGCCAGGATTATGAAAATTGCTCCTCCCGCTCCATCTAGTTTTGAATTCTGCCAGCGATGAATCCAAAGCATAGCATGGCCGAGTAGCAGTGACCTCTGACATCACTCCCTCCAAAAATGGCTCAGACTGGAAGCGTGCATGCATGCTGCACATCGCGCCACAAGTTGCTCACAAGATGGTCGCAGCCAGGAAGGTGTTCAACTCGTCTTCTGGACCTCCCATCACCAGCATCAGACACAGTGCTCTGACTCTGACCCCCCAATCAACACGAAGAAACTGCAGCGCATCTGTGGATCAACCGTCTGCACATGCTTCAACATCTTCAACGCTTCAAGATTCACAGGGACAGCCTACTTGGTCAAGTCCCCTGCTTCGCTTATCTCGAAAAAATCGGGCCGCGCTATCAGCCGCACATGCACATGTCCCACTCAGAATGACGGTGTGTGAGCGTTTGGGCCGTCTGTTGTCCTTCCCTGTTGTCCTCTGCTTTTGCAAGGCAAAGACCTCTGAATCAATCGTTCCAGAGATCTTTGGGCTGCAACTGTGATCGAAGATTCTGGCCATGCGGAACTCGGTTATGGTATGGCTTAACTTTCCGCTGGATGGGAACATGGGCTCAACGGGCAAGAGTGTCTGCGAGCAACGCTCTTCCACGCTTCCACGCTTCCACGCACGCTGCACCAGCTGGCACGTGTGGCTGAAAGCTTGCTGAGTCAAACGCATTGCCGTGACCGCACGGCATGGAAAACAAAACAACTGTGAAATGCTTGACGGAAGCTTGGACGCTTCTGGCAAAATAAGAATAAAGAAGCATGTTCTGCACAGTTCAGCATGCTGACAGCAATAGCCTTGGTTTCCGATTTATTGTAATCGTGAATTATCCGTCACCTATAGCAGTACGAGAGGATGCCGTCTCCCCATCAGTTGGACTCATTGCGCTGACTTTCCGTCTCAGGCGCTGGCTGCACTTCAAACCAAAGCTAGCTTCTCCGCCTTCCACGGTGTCCTCGAAAGTCAATACACTGGCTTGAAGATTTTCAGGAGGCAGACAAGGGAGACAACATGAGACAACCCAAACAAGACTGGTGCATGCACGTCCCTAAATCCGCTTCGCCCACAGCACAAGAACACTCCTAACTTTGGAAACAGGCTCCTCACCCGTCCACGAAATCCAGAAGAAAACAATCTGCAGGACATGATTCCAGGAATGCTGGAATCCAAGTGTCTTGCACAGCGTCAAGTAAGGCTCCTGCGAAGAGGAAAAGGATAATATTGTCCATGAGCGACCATTTCCCTATCTGATCCTCACAGTCCCAGCGAAGGCAGTAAGGGTTTCTGAATTTCTGAACCGAGGCAGCTTCCAGGAAGATCAGCATAGGACCACGAATGCCATGATCCATGGGCGTTACCCAGGCATACCTGCTCCCAGTGACATGATGCATGGCACCAAGAATCAAACGATCAGGAGGGTGCATCATCATCAAAAGCTTGACGTATGGCCAGAGAACGCTGAAGATGAGCATGGCGCAGAAAACAAAGTACGACCTGAGGAGCCAGAATCAAGCAGCGGGAACATGCTTGGCTCGCTTTACTTGAGTCAGGCCAAGTCACCCCACACTCCATGTCTGGACCTTCTAGCAATGCCATGTGGGTGAAAACAACACATGGCTACCCCATGGCTACCTGAGGCAAGCACCAAGCTGTTGTCCATGGAAAGAGATGCCATGTGCCTCGTGTCAGAGGAGCCATTCGAGGCCTTGAAGCTGCCTGAAGAGGTGGCAGGAGAGGGGACTCTTCACATGCTTTACGTGCAGGCCTGACAACAATATCCCCGGCGTCACAGAAGCATAGACAAACAGTAGAGTTGTGCCAGCGATACCTCCAACATGGGTGAGGAAGGAATCCTGCAATATGAAGCGCTATCAGCAGCATCGTGCTGGCCTGAGAGGATGCCCCACCGCAAAAACGGTGACACCTGGGATCCAACTTGCAAAACACCATGCACTTCAACGCTGAGCTAAGCACAATGCGCCCGGTTGCCATCCCAAACCTGGCAATACTTCCGCACTGCTATGTGGTTTCCCACTGCCACTTTGAGCCGGCCTTTGCCAAGCCTGAAGCTATCGTTACCTCAAGTCTGGCACTTTGTGTGTCATGACATATTGAGAAGGACACGTGCTAAGCCTACCCAAGCTCAGGCTGCTGCTCAAATCTGGATGGCACCCTGCCTGAAGTGACTGCGAGGACTCCTGGGTGTCAATTCGTTCAAAGGCTGTGCCATGTCGCGCGTAGTTGCACCTCCGTTTCAGGGACGCTGCTTGGGGATGTTGTTTGACCTCTGGTCGACCTGGACCAACTGCACTTTGTCACCAGCAAGCCATAAAAGAAAAATCAGCCGCTGGCCAGCATCGAACTGGACTTCTGGAGCTGCTGGTGGCAGAGTCGCCAACATTGTGCCTTAGCCGTCTGAATGATGGCCTTAGGGGTAATCCCTTCCCCCCTAATAAAACACCCACCAGATGCAACACGGGTTCCCCAACAGTCCAAATCCTGAAATCTTCCCCCAGCCTACTTTTAAAAGGGCCGAAAGTACAGTTAACTAGGCTTCGATCATCTCACTTAAGGGGGTCCCCAGCATGACTTTTCAGGATTGGGGGTCACCTTGATTTGACAACTTTCAACTGATTTTGAATGGTCTTTGTTTGCAAAGGAATATAGAGGGTGCATGACTCACTTTGGCCGCTGTAAAGAATCATTTTCTCTGTGTCTGCCTCATTTCTGTTCATATCTACTTCATTCGTGTTTATTGCATAACCCCCCGCCCAACATTCCGGTCCTACGATAAATTCACCCCCAGTGTTAATCTCTTAAATTCGGGTTGGAATAAATACATGATGAAGGGGACGACGTTTACTATCAGGGGGGGGGGAAAGGATTAGTAAATTACCGCAAAGGTTGGATAACTGATATGATCAAAATTGCGCGTGCCTTGACCTGCCCATGACCCCTCCGGTGTTAGCAGCAGCAAGGGCTGCAAAATTGCTTTTGCCAATCTTAAAAGACATGAAAGCTACACAGCTACACGAACAAAGCCTGGCAGGGGTCGGGCGAGAACTTGGCCCCCATGCACACATGCCGCATAAATCTACACCTCATGACGTCATGGGTTGGAGGCCTTGTACGTAATCTATGAGTCTGCTACGTCTATCGAGGGAATCAGCTCATACATTGCAATGGTTGTGGTGTAGCGATTCACTCCTGCTGCCTGGGCACTACAAACTGGTACATGACAGGAATTAGTTCACTGTTTCCATGGAAACTGGAAGCTACTACACAAGAAGCCCCACAACCTTTGAGGCCGCGTCTGTATGGGCTTACTGTGGTCATGAAACATGTGAGCTAATGCGTCCGACGGCTTCTCATGGATGGAGCCAATGCGCTTCATGAAAACGCAAATTGATACACTGGAAACCATTTTCCTCGAAATTCGACCGTTCCCGTGAGCCTGGGACTTCATGCGGTTGAATGATATGGCCACTCTTGACCCTTGTAATCTTGCAGGGTTTGACTCGGTGACGCTCGCGCGGTTGCCCATGATTATGAAAAACTTCCTCACCTTGCGCACTTTAAGCTCGGGCCCAAAAAGCAGGGCAAGTTTCGCCACAAATCGTTCATCAAGGACAACCTCATGTTAAGAGAATCTAGGCATGACATCTTCCTGTTTGGATCCCAATTAGGGGCATTCGTCTTTTGTTTGTGCTTTGGTTGAGAAAACAAAGTTTGTCACTGTGGCTTCGTGCTTGCTTTTACATTTCCCATGGGTTTTCGGGGAGTTCTTTAATTCTAAGCTTCAGAGAGACAAAATGAAGTTTTCCTGTGGTTTCGTGCTTATTTTTGAATTTGGCGGCGGGTCTTACAAAGAGGACTGTCCTTTCAAAGGAATCCTACTAGTAAGTATAGGAATAAACATTCAAACTTAATGGATGGCAGACTTGTATAAACAAGCTGCTTGAAAAGAAGCTGTGCGGAAGGATGAGCGTATTGTATGACCTGCTAACAATCATGGGCACGCGAATTCATTTCCCAAACCCAAAGCCCAAATTCTAAAGCCAAGATGAAGCCCCCTAAACCTTGACCTTGTTTTGGCGTCTTCTTATTGGCATCCCAGGCTCCAAGTTTGTGCTTCAAGATTGAACAAAGCATGCGGACAAAAACTCACATCGAATAACTTCGACAGCATGTGGCAACTCATCTGCCAGCACCCGCCAGAACGGCACCAGGTGAAGCAGACGGGCACGGACGGCCCATGGAACGTGGCAAGACCACAACAAAGGCTGCCAAGGCTAGCCAAATTGGAGGCTTGCAGGTTTATCCTACAACGAACGTAACTACCTCCTCCCACCCCACTCCCCACCCCCCCCACACGAATCAAGTTCAATCTACAGCGTGTATCACTGCCTGCACTTTGTGTACATGACTCTTACAAGTCATGTAACCTAGCAAGCAGTTGCATGGGGACCATTTGCACCGAGACCATTAATTAGAGAGTGCCTGATTTTTTTGAATGAGAAATTGGCAAAGCCAAATGCAAGTACCCTAACGAAAAGCCTTACACCCCTTCGTTGCGAGATGCCATGCTGCATCGCGGGAGCGCATCTTGAGGAGCAGCTTACACCTACATCGCCATCCCCGACTAACACCTTCAAAGTTAAAGGAGTGAATATGATGAACACCAAAGGGGACAAGGTCCATCATAGTCAAAGGACAGGGCCTAGCAAGGGATAATGTAATTGTAAGCCTCAACCCACAAACTGTACAGTTGGCTTGGCAGCAAACGTGATGCTAGCTATGCCAAGGATGAGCGGCACGCAAATGCGCAAAAAAAAACACAAGTTTGGTGGGCAGTTTCGGGCCAACGGGCTTGGTCCGTTGGTTCCCGTATGCCTCTAAAATGTCCTGAGCACGTGGGATGAGATGCTTCTGGATTCGATGTGTTCGATTGTCAGTCCATGTATTGATATCAGCAAAGGTCCGCACATCAGGCCGCTGGCTAAGACGTGATGGAACTCGCACTTCTATCAGCTCGGTCATTTGAGAGGTGAGCCCATTCCAAATCACGACCAAACTTGTCAAAGAAAGCTTCACGGCCTAATTGTGAGTTGACCCATACAGGGTATACTCGCCGTGAGTCTAGCTGGGCCTGCAGCCTAAGCCAGAGGTCAGCATGCGGGGTTTTTGATTTCAGAAAGTGATCTTATGAGACGCTTCAAAGTCTTGACTGTAATCTGGGAGTCACAGCTGAATTCCACGTTCCCATCTGTGGAATCGAGAAGAGAAACTAAGGCATAAATCTCAGCACGCGGGACGGTCTGCTTAGGGCCTGGTAGAACCTCCGCTTTGGTGCCCAAACATTCCCAGCTGCCATCATGACTAAGAGCGACAACAGAAACCCCCCACCCGCACAGCTGGAAGCGCTTATCCTTGAAACCTCCACTCCCGTCCGTGCCATACCGATACCTGGGATCTACAAGGGTTCATTAAGGCCCCAAGCCTGTGAAATCAGTGTGGCTTTCATACTTGTGCCTGGTCATATCCTTCATGTGTGTCCAGGGGGGACGGCGTGATTGTGCGATGCCAGTAACAGCGCTTGTCAGGGGTGTGCAGCTCAGCTAACCATTCAGCAGGGGCTACACCGTAGGTTTCGTTCAACTCAGCACAATGGTAAAGTAGATGTGTTAGAGTTGCTTCACTATGACAGAAGGGACATACCGTCATGACATTGTTCTCAAGGCATGGTATGCTCCCCTGAACAAGAGCTACAAGGGCGTGTTTTTGCTTGTAGCTGGCAAGGTGCTGCGAGCGCTTGCAAGCTACGCTGAGGTCGGCACCTTGCTCCAATCCCCTCCCCCCAACATGACGCGAAGCGTGTAACCACAACAGCTCTTCCTGGGACTGCTCTAGAAGGTAACCCAACTGGGACAGCGCAAGGGGTTTACTAATATCAACGGCATGTGGAGTACCATGATTGTCATACCAAGCTCGCAAATCTGGAGTTCGCCACTTGAGGTCCTTAAGGCGGCACATGAAAGAACTAAGGGGGCCGCGTGCGTGTGCCAATGTCTAGTTTTATTGGCTATCAGGCGATAGCTCATGCGCCACACATTCCCAACCGGCTGTTGCCATTTGGGGCTGAGAGCATGAAACACGCCAAAAAATCCGGTCACTTGTTGTACAAGGGTTTTGTGCACAGGATCCACCGCACGGGACCAGAAAAGCCGCCAACCAGTTGTGAGGCAACCGAGCTTATGAACAAACCCACCTGACAGACCAATCCTCGCACGATATGTGCGCAGCCCCCAGAGCCCACGGGCGAAGATGTTAGTCTGAACAAAGAGCTTTGCGCAGCCTACGGGGAGTTTGGGAAAGTCGGGAAGCCCTTCTTAAGCTTTTGGTGATTCTGGACGGGCTAGAAGGCAATCTTCTTAGCCTGCCGGCGGTGTTATCAATGCCTAGGTCACGGATACAATCAAGGGTTTGTGGGCACACATAAGACGGAAAATTTTGTCGCTGATACTGCTGCAGAGCTGTCCTAGCACATTGTTAGCAAATGCATGGCTGCACAGAAAGCCTGATTTCTTCAAATTGATACCCAAGTTTAGTCTACCTAGCTCCCGCTGGATCTGCAAAAACAACAGCGTCATGGTTTCAACTAACGGTTGTATGTCATGCCCTCCGCGGTCAAAGGCCAGATCATCCAACCAGCTTGAAATGTCCACCTCAGGGAAGGCTTCTTTCAGGTCGCGCAAGGGTCTGTACAAGTATGCCTTTGCAAGGGCAACGGAGCTGGGGCAGCCCTGAAGAATACTAACACGAGGGGATATGGGTGCGGATGCTTGCCCTTCAGCGAGCAACACGCGTGGGCTGGAATGGACTATCATTGAAAGCAGCAATAACAATGGGGATAGCCTAACTCAAGAGCCTCTTCCGTCATCCTCCATCAATAAATCCCTATCAATAGAGTCGAAGAATTTGTTCAAATCCAACAGCAAACAAACATGATATCCTCCCGTGTGGATTGCAAGTTCACCTTTCAGCATGCTTGTTAAAACACGTTTAAAGATCTGTCCGCCAGGGATTGGCGCATACCATACAGAACAAGGGCTGATTTGTTGCACCCACGCGTCTATCAAGTAACCCCGTAATTTCATGTACCAGCGGTACAAATCAGAAGTCAAACTGATGGGGCGCTCGGCATCTTGGTTCTTCGGGAGAAGGGCTAGATGAATGTGCTTGACCCCTTCAGGCCAATCCAGTTTTTGCTCCACCTGAAACCGCTAAGAGCTTCGTCTGGCAACGAAATCAAGGCCGAAAGAGTCCAACCATGCCCCCCACCCTTTTTAAATTTGATGTGTCGCAAAGTGCGTTGGATCTGCTTCGATGAAATGCGTTTCAATGTT